CGCCCGCCTGAGGCGGCCCGTGCCACGTAACGTGACTCCACCCGAAGTTGGAAAAAAAATGGCAAAATAAAAAAATAACGATCCCCATCGTTCCTTAGGTACGAGCCGCTTTAGGCCGCGGTTCAATCCGCAGCGGGCCAGGCGGTGCTGCTGAGGGGAAGGCGAAGCAGGGAGAAAGGCCGGAGAAAGGGTTTCCCCGGCTGGTGGAGCCTCCTGCCGCCCTCCGCAACACACCGCGGAATATTCTGGTAACGGCGCGGCAGCCGAGGCTGCAGAGAGAGGAGATGTGTGTCTAATACTCGTAAGCAATTCCAGCGATAAGCGTGTGCTGTTCCCGCAGCTGGCACGGTGCTCGGTCGCACCTCTGCTTTGGAGGAACCTGCACGGTTCTCTTGGATAAATTTGACGTGGAACTACTGAGTCTTGGAAGGAAGGAGGGGGAAATAAAACCCACGCTTTGATTGGCACAATTCCACCAGTCCTTTTAGGATATTTTGAGCCCCAAACTTTCCCATAGAGGAGTCCTTCCACATGAAAGGATGGCGTTGGTCAAGGAGCATTACAGATGGATTAGGTGGGATTTACTACTCAGAATCCGAGCCCCTTTCTTCCCCCATCTTTCTCCCTGTTTACTTGAGAACCATTTCACTGGCTTGCAGACACAGGATTAGTAGCATCTGTGACCTGCTTTTGGGGTGGTTTTTAACACAGTAGTGCAAACAGGTGCAGCAATGAGTTGAAAGCAAACCAGCTGGGGAACTTGTACTGGCTAGAAAGGGCATTTAGGGCCACAAGAGAAGACACTAGATGATGCTTAACTCTCCTGAGATCATATTAATAAACCTGGCATGGAAAATGACTGACGCTTCTGGATAAAAAACAGACATCTAGCTGGAAAGAGGAACATGCCCTTGGATGACAGAGTTTGGGGGCAATAATGTTTAGAAAATTTGTGCTCCATTTGGCCTCAATCCCTTTATTTTATCCACCTCATTAATCCATTTTAATTATCCACCTCATTGTTCAAATCCTCTGCCTACTGCTTAGCCTCTATGCTGTTTTGTAATTAATAAACTGCACCAAATTATGAGCATCGCAATCCAGAACATGCTGTGAAGAACAGGAAAGATATACTTAGAGTTTCAAAGGTCATCTCCAAAGATAATTTTTCAGAATGAACTCTACTCCTCAATCTGTACTATTTATAACACATTGCAATAGTACAGTAGCACTTGTGTACAATGAGTGAATGAGAACACATGCCACTGTTTTGGGCTTAATGGGAGAGAAAGGATAGGAAGGAGAGCGGGAAGGAAAGGAAGCAGTGAGATGCAGAAATCCATGGAGAATTAATGCTGGAAAGGGTAGGCTAATAACAATAACAACAATATTGAAAAGTAAATTGTAGACATTTTTCATTATAATGCAGTAAGTCCGCATTGGTTGCCTGCAGACCTGGGAATTGTCTATTAACTATTGCTACAATGACAAGTATCATTAGGCAATATACTTGGGAAAATCATGAATTATCATAAATAATTAAAACTAAGCTACATTAAGTAAACCACGTGCTGCAATGTGTAACACTTGTCTTTCTGGCTGCTTTTTCCCCCAGCTTTCAGATGAAAGCTCTCCACTGCTCTCCCTCCAGGCCAGAGCACAGAACTGATGCAATTCTTTAGGAAATGCGGGTGTGAGGGAATAGGAGAGGAAGGATTTAAGGTGCCGTGCAAGTTGCCTACCATGTGGCAAAGGAAGCACGTTTGAGGACATGGGTCAGGCAGATTATGAGTAGGACAGAAGTGTAGCTGCTGAGTGTACAGGTTTGTAACTGTAGTTTCACACTTTCCTGTGTAGTTTCACAGAGTGACTCACGCATCACTAAAGCCGCTGCCTCTGTGTGTGTTCCCCAGTGCTTAAGCAGCAGTCTTCCAGCTTCTTCCCTTATTCCGCCCTCCACATCCACCCACCCTAGAGATTGAAAACCACCAGCGAGGATTCTCAAAATAGGCAGCTGCAGCTCCCCCGTGCACCCGCGGGTTGCTAGGGAGCTCCGGGTGCGCAGCGCCAGCCGAGAGGAGAGGCGGGCAGCACTCACAGCCGGAGCACAGACAGCCTGGCCTCAGTTGAGATGCTTTAGCAGAGACTACAGGAATAACGAAAAAGAACCAGAGGGGCTGTCTGGGAGGTTTGCCTCTTAGGTTCCCAGCAGTCTGGACTTGCTGCCATTGCTCTGTCTGCTCTCTGTCCCCCGGCAGGAGCCATCTCTCTTTGTTAGTCCGTCTCTCAGTGCTGGCGCTTTACCCTCAGCTGTGAGTCTTGCTCTATTCCTGCCATTCAGCAGCTGCTTTCCCTTCCAGGACCCCACTTCTCTCTCCTGGGATACGTCTTATCAGGGAACCCGGGTTCGTTCTCCCCCTGGGATTCCTCTAGCACCGAGGCACATTACGCAAACCAGTCACAGAGGCAACATCTGACTTGAGCTGTCTGGCTGAGAAGGGTCAGACATTTGCAGTGTAGTTTGCAGGCATTAGTGCAAGTCTCAAATGAAGGCTTAATTTCAAAAGTTCTCCTGCAGCTTCTTGTCAGAGAGAATTAGCCTACGTGGCTAGAATCCAGATGTGCACAGCTATCAGCTGCTTGAAAGCATGGAAGTTCAAGATGAGTGCAATGCCAGTCATTCCTCTGCCATACTGAGAGTCCCTCCTGTCAGGTTACTAACAGTGAGTAGCAATTTGTGCTCTGCAAAACACTCCCACTCAGCACATACAAACAAAACAATTTCTTAGTTATGCACTTTGTAAGTGAGGGTTCGGTCCTGCAACCCTTGCAAAGGACAATCTGTACTTTGCTCTTACCATGAGCCCCTGGAATCTGGGACATAGGTGGATTTTGACAATGGAAAACACTGAATATGCACCCACCCAATATGTTATTCTTCACCACAGTGAAACCAACTTCACAGCAGTACTTATGTTCAGATTTGTTGCTGTCAAGAAAAAGGCAAGTTTTACCTCAAATCTTTCAAAAACAGGAACTTTAAAACAACAACCAAACTTCCAGAGAAATTTTCTTTAAATGTTAAGTATTTTACCCAGTTTTCTGTTTGGTGTTTTTTCAGATGTGCTTCCTTGCTGTTTTTTAAAGCATAAAGGATACAAACCTGAAGATATTAAACTTCAAGGTAGAAAGGGCAGATAATTAGAAGCTTCTGATCACTTGAGACATTAAAATGGACATTGCTGTGCAAACACGATGGCGTTGGTTACTGTTATTCCCTGTTACAACATCTACCTTTTCTCTCCTCCAGGTGAGGCTTTAAAATATAGGTATCACTCCCACTTTTCTTTATCTACCAAGGCTTTATAAAGTATAATTGACCCTAATTAGTTACTCAAGCAGGAGAAAGTGACGCAAGGTTTCCTGTTTATCCAGTCCTAAAAAGATAGTGGAGTACAATCTCCAAAGGCAAGTTAATTGCTTCAGTATTAGAGCAAAGCATAGTGTCTACTCAATTATTACAAAGTATTGTAATCACTGCAGTAAAAGGTTACCCATCAAGCCTTTACTTTAAAGAGATTGATACACATTCAAGAAAGGATTAAAAAAAACCACCAAAGAACAAAAAGACCATTTTTTTATGTCTGTGTATCTCTTCAGATGTTTTCCCAGAGAAACTGCAACCATGAGGTACAAAAACAAAGTTAGATGAAGCTAAAGCTTCCTTTTCTTTAAATAGAGTCAAATTCTGCCCTCTCTCTTGTTCAGTAGAGTTCCATGGAAGATGTCACAACATAGTCAGAGTTGCTAAAAAGATTTCAGTGCAGGAGAAAAATCCAGAGGAAACAAAGAGGGCAAATGTTTTTACTCAACTAAAACTTACTGAGAAATAAATAATCAAAATATTTCTTAGAATTAAAGATATAAAAAGAAGAAAAAAGATATTATACAGGTGGAATTGTATGGTAAAAGGATTAAGTCAAGCAAGTGCTACTAAGACTGATATTGCCAGCATCAGATGAATTGGGTGAGGCTAAAGGTTTATCTTCAAAAGTATCTTAAATCTTCCAGACACTATCACTGCATAGTCATATTACTACTTTATTTTAAAGGGTTTTTTAAAATTAGTTTCTTTATTAATTCAAAAAACCTGTGCATGTAAGAGGGCTAAGTACCTCTTCCCTAGTGTGCTGAGTATGTTGAAGTGCAAAACATGCATTTAGCTTTTTTTTTTTAATTTCCTAACCAAAAGGCATGATTTTGCTGGGTAGGGTTGAAGTAATTTAGAACTTTTTAGGACTTTTGATATTTCAGACAAAATAACACCTCAGAAATTACTTCAACATGGAATAAAACAAAAGTATAATGTAGAAACAAACTCACATTTGATATTTTAGCACATCTTTTTCTTCGAGTCTTCATCCAGGACTAATTAACATTAGCTTCCACGACTTACCTTATTAGACAGTACCTTCATCAATGTTTTAAGAGTCTTCTAAAAGGTTATTTGGAGAGAAAACCTGCAAAAAATTCTACACATGCCAGGAGAAACTGTGGTATATGCTGACCATGCTCTTCTAAATATAAACTCTGGTTAGAGAAATGCAGAGGCTCTTCATGCACTACATTACATGGACTCCTCTCCGTGACCTCCAGAAGTCCTGATTCTCCCTGGCTTACCACATAATAGTCATGTAATACTAACCTTGATGGACTACATATGAATAAGAGGCTATTTTGAGATTGTAAGCACTTCAAATTGTAAGGTTCCCTTCACACTATCCCACAGCTGGCTTGGGAGGAGAAAATTCAATGTAGTATGTATGCAGTGATCTTCATGAAAGCCCAGGCTATGCTCAGAGATCATTCTTGCTGTGAAGAGTCTGCCCTGGAAATAAGCAAAAGATCTGGATCATTAGCAATGAGTTCCATAAATGTGGCTGCTAAAGCATTAGTGTGTACCTCCACCAACACCCAGACAGTCCAGCGTCCACCAGAACTGTCAGTCTTGAATCACAAACAAACCCTACCTGCTCCTCCCAGCCTGGGCTGCCTCAGTGGGCCAAAAACCCAATGGGTGGCTCTCCCAGGCAGCTAGGCCATACCTCAGAACTCCCCAAGGCACAAGGGCTGAAAGCCTCCCGCATCCCTGAATGTCAGGAGGCTGCACGAAAGTCAGAACGTGTCAAACGAGCCCTGCTGCCGCTGCAAGGCCAGCAGTTCCCAATCTGCAGTGGATTCTGTCATTCTTTAGACACCATCTGTTGCAACAGCTGCTGGTGGCTTTCCAACAGCCTCTTTAGTGCAGGTCTAAAACCTGATTGCTCTCAGTCAACCACCCCTTCTTATCTAACCTTGATGAGAGACTGAAGATCATGGTCACTTTGGCCCTCCCCCATAGGGCATGCAATAGCATTGGCCACCACAAATGGCAGTGTCAGTGCCATGGGGGACTGGGAGACAGGATCACCAGAGCCCTACTGGGAACACCTGCATGTGTGAGGTGGTAGGAGCAGGGCAGGTATTCCTTAGCGAACAGCCCCCTCCCCACCACCTGCATCTGCAGGGATGCAGCACCCAGTCCAGCATCTGGCCATCCAGCATCTGAATCTCTTCTTCACTGTGGCCACTCTGGTGAAGAGCAGCACCATGAGAAGCCTGACCTTTACCAGAGGCTCAGCAATTTCCAGTAATCCCCCAAGAGCCTTTCCTCTCCCTAAATCCCACACTGCTGGGTCCAGGAGGAGCAGGGTCCGGCTCACTCCTGAGGCTCCCTGCACGCAGAGCTTTGTCAGTCACTCCCCAAGGAGCGTTCACTTGCCATGTCCCTGCACTCCAGCAGGCACCCCCTCTAAAACACATGGACATCAGAGCATATTAGGTCTGCTATCTGAAAAATGTCTTTTGTTTAGTATTTTGCTCCTCATGTTAGCTTTTCAACACTGTTCAGTTATGTTTATTTTCTTAGCAGGTCTCCTGTGTAATGTAATTTTTATAAAGATTATAAGCAGTGTCATCAGTGTGCTCTACTTTTGAATTAAAAAATGCATTGAAAATCACTTTCAGCAACACACTTTCAAGACTTTTTTCCTGCTAACTTTAAAAAAACTTATTTCTGATTGCCTCCTTGTTCAGAAGATTTTTCACATTGTTGTGATTCACTATCAAATAGAAGATTTTTATAAAAAGCTTTGGACAGAATGTCCTAATTACACTTGACCTCAGTTTATACCGTGTGACCACGCATGTATCTGGATATCACCACGTAAAACATACTTTTGGCAACCGAGAGCTATTGGATGTTTAAGACCATCAGGAAACACGTTGAAGCAGCAGAGAGCAATCCCTTAGTCTGGCCCCTACCTGCACCTGCACTAGTGTCTTACCTTCTATTTCCTTCAGATGCCTTAAGGAACTGTAACGCCCGTACAGCGCTTTCCCCCGTATTTTTATATTCTGATTATGTAACTGTGCTGCTTGCATAACCGCAACGACAATAAGTGTAGGATTTGTCTAAGGATCAACACGGAGCAGCTCCTGCCAGCCGTTCCCGAGTGTTCCTCCCAGCCGCCCCGCTCGGAGCGCGCAGATAAGGTGGGTGCCGTGTGTGTCAGTGACGCTCACCCCGTGCAGCCTGGCCGGGAACGTTTAGCCTAAAATAACATTTGCATTCACTGCATGAGATAATGTCACCAAAGAAATCAGGTCTCGGCGGCCCTACCGAAGCATACACGAGAGACCGCCACCCAGCTGCCACCCGTCCCCTGCCTGAGGATACTTCCCCGGTCTGTCCCGCCTCCGGGGACCCCCCAGCATCGCGGGGCCATCTCCCTTTTCTCGGGGCTCCCA